AACTAATGGCATCTTGGTCGATATGTCCGAGTGGTTAAGGAGATAGACTTGAAATCTATTGGGCTACGCCCGCGCAGGTTCGAACCCTGCTGTCGACGTTTATTTTTTTGTTTTCATTGTTGGTGGCACTGGCACAAACAGCATTTCTATTTCCCGAGTATGTAACTACTAGCGTAGGATGATGTACATGTACTCCGTGGATGGCACAAGCCCCCCTTAAATTTTTTTAAAATAAAATTTATTTTTTTATTAAAATATTGATTTAAATAAACCCGTACCTAAATAATTGTTAACTTTTTGAATAATATTTTTTGAAACCTAATTTAAAGACCTAATATATTTGCGATATTAAGTATAATAGTGAGTATTAATATTTAATAAACTCTATTGTCTATCTAATTGTCACAAATCATTAGATCTCTATCAATTAAATCTCAAATTAGGTACAATTAATATAATTGTTAATTTTTGGAAATGTTTTAGACATGTCCGAATATATTTTGAATATATTGATATTATTTTATAATTTTTTAAATTGTAAGATTATTTCGTTATTTTATAAAAATATGTGTCATTATGTAATAAATTATAGAATCATAAATAGAAGATTTTTACTATGATTTTATATATAAAAGAAATATTATTGATAAAATTAATTTATAATTTTTTGAAATGATAAAAATATATCAGAATCAATTATAAATAATAATAATTAATTGATATGAAGTTTTAGTTATTATTTTTTTATTCATGATATACATATTAATTTTTAATTTTTTATGTTTAAAAAATATTAAATATAATTTTAATAAATATAAATTTATAAACTTTTATGACCTATTAAAAAAAATTAAAATATATTAACGTGTCCACCCAAAAACAAATTTCTACCTCCGCTCCTGCTTAGAACTAGCATTAGCATATGCAAACACAAGAAAGAGCCATCCCATCCCATCCCATGGAAGCCAGGATACTTGCGTTTGAATCCAACGGAGCGAACACAAGAAAGAGCCACAGAGCGAGAAGACTGAGAGAAATACAGTGAGAGCGTTGTTTGACAGTTGGGAGCTACAACGCAAGGTCGGATTTATTGTTGGGCTGAAGCCTACGGTAAAAAAAAAAAAAAAAATTAATTTACCATTAAGTACCAACCCAACCCTCTCCAAAAAAAAATCTCATCCAACCCAACTAACCCAATCCAGCCCACTGCAAAGTTTCCCCAATCGGTCTCTCTCAGTCACTTTCCCATGTCCTGTCTCTTCTCTCTCAGTCTCAGGCGAGTCACTTCCCCGAATCTCCGGAGAAGCAACGGCTCCAATGGCAGGCGGTGAGTCGCTCTGTGCAAACACCCTGGTTTGCGGGCTTCTTGAATCACACATAAATTTGTTTTTTTTTTTTCTGGTTCACGGACCACGGTGCTTCAGATTTCTCTGCAACGGCTACAAATTTCTTGTTTGTGGGCTTCTTGAATCACACACAGGTATTGATTTTCTTTGTTTGCGGTTATGCAAATTTTTTCTCTGCTTTAGATTTCTTGTTTTCCATATCCATTGTTTGTGATGTGCCGAACAGGCAGTCTACTCTTTCCTCTCAATCCCATTTTCTTATGCGGGTTTTCTGGTTCTCTACACCTAGTTTTGTTGCTTATTCTATTTATCTCATGGGTTTGCAAGAAAATTAGGATTAATAAGAATGAGGGCCAAAAACAGAGTGTTAGGATTAATAAAAATTGGTGGCCTTCACCAGGTTCTCGTATCACCATAGAAATGGTTGGTCTGAGGAAAAGGTTGTGACCCTTTTAGATTTGGTAATCAAAACACTTGCCTGATTTGTGTTCATTGTTTGCCTGGTTAGTTCTCTATATATTTTTCCAAGACCAAATTGGTGGCCGTCAAGTCCTCCATGAAAATAGATGGGTAGACGTGCCTTTTTTGCTTGGAGCTCTAGTGATAAACATTGCTGATCTTCTATAGGCAAGTATTTTTTTTTCATTGATTTTGACTTTTACAAGTTGTTTCAACCTTCTGAGAAGCTCTAGTTCTCTATGTATATTTCTCCATTGTTTGTGTTCATATGCATATAAGTAGGTATCTATAAGTATGTATATGTATAATATGTAGATGTATAATATAAAGTCTGTATCTATAAATATATATATGTATAATATGTAGATTTCTCTTCTTCTTTTCAATTTCTTGCTTCCTCTATCCAATGCTTGTGTAACACAAAATTAGAATTTTGGGGCTAGGTGATTTTTGGGGCAGAGGAACATAAAATTAGATTTGGTATATCTATATACATCTTGTAGATTTTTGGGGCTAGGTGATTCTTGTTGATTTGTTTCTCTAGTATACGTCTCTAATTTTCAACCCTTCTCTATTTTATTAGGATGGAAAATCAATAACGAAAAAAAGCAAAAATAATTTTTTCGTTCTTCAAAAAGAAAAGTGGAGAATCAACATCAAATTCTAGTCTTGAACCTTTGAGTCTAGTAGAAACATCAACAAGTGTTGATGTTCCTATGATTCCTACGGCTATTGAACCTCAAGGTCTTTAATCTCAAACAAAAGTTTCAAGGATTCTTTTTGATAAAAATGAACTTGAACGAGATCCCACATTGCGTATTCCGATATGAAAACATCCTACTTATAATCAAGATGAAGTTAGACGTGCTTATATAAAGTGGAGACCAAATCAACCTATCTTGGCTGAGTATCGGAGGAATAAAACTGGAGTTCAAAATCGAAGATTTCAGGAAAGTTGGTACAAAAAATTTCCATGGCTAGAGTATTCTATTTCAAAAAATGTGGCATTTTGCTTTCCGTGCTTTATTTTTCAAGGTTGTGAACCTCTACATTCTACATTTACCGTTGATGGTTTTAATAGTTGGAAGAGAGTGAATAATGAGGCCAAATGTGTTTTCTTGTCACACATGGGAGGTCCTGCTTCCACACACAATAATGCTGTGAGAAATGTTGAAGCGTTGAAGAATATATCAGTGTACATTGATAAAGTTATGAATATTCAAAGTTCAGAAGAAATAAAGAGAAATCGATTACGTCTTAAGGCTACCATTGATAGTGTTTAATGACTTACTTTACAGGGATGTGCCTTGATAGGTCATGATGAATCTATAATGTCAAAGAATCGTGGTAATCTAATTGAGATGATTAGTTTGATGGCAAAGTTGAATGTTGAGATAAATGATATTGTCTTAGAGAAAGCTCCAAAAAATGCAAAATATACGTCTCTTATGATCCAAAAAGATATTTTGCATATTCTAGCTACTAAAGTAAGAGAAAAAATCCGTAAAGAAGTTGAAAATGTCAAGTTTTGTATTTTGGTTGATGAAGTAAATTATGCATCAAATAAAGAACAGATGACAATTGTTCTGAAATTTGTTGATATTCAAGGTTTTTTGCATGAGAGATTTTTTGAGATTGTGTATATTAAAGACACCATTTCTTTAACTCTTAAGAAGAAAATATTAGAAGTTCTTACTTGACACAATTTACATATTCGAGATTTATGAGGTCAGGGATATGATGGTGCTAGTAACATGCATGGTGCATTTAATGGATTGCAAGCTTTGTTTCCCAATGATTGTGAGTATGCATACTATATTTATTGTTTTGCTCATCGTTTACAACTTGCATTAGTTGTAATTGCTGAAGATGAGATTTCAATATGACAATTCTTTTCCAAATTGACATGCATTGTCAATTTTATTAGTGCTTCTCCTAAGCGTCATACAGAACTGCGATCTGCTCAAGCTACTGAGATTGAAAGGGGGATAGCTAGTGGTGAACGAGAGACTGGTAAAAGGGCTAATTAGATGGGTACTTTGCATCGAGCTGGTACTACTCGTTGGAGCTCACATTTTAAATCCATTTGCGGTCTGATAGATATGTATGATGCTACCATTAGTGTGTTTGAATGTATGGTTAACGAAGGATCTTCAAATACAATTTGTGGGGAAGCTGGTGGTTCTTTAATAACAATGAAGTCCTTCGATTTCATATTCATATTGCATCTTATGCACAAGATTATGGGGATTACGAATATGCTTTGTCAGACATTGTAGCATAAATCATTAGATATTTTGAATGCAATGAATTTAGTCTCATCGACAAAATCATTGCTTCAAACCATGCGAGCAGAAGGTTTTGATTATCTATTTGGCCATGTGAAATCAGTTTGCATGACATTTGATGTCGATATACCTGATATGAGAACTCAGTATAAAGGGACAAGACGTTCATGTTAATAGAATGATAATATTACAGTTGATCATCACTATCACATGAACTTATTTAATGCTACGATTGATCATCATTTAGAAGAGTTACATAATAGATTCAATGAAGAGACAAATGAAATTGTTTATGCTCAGCTCTACTTTAGATCATCGAGACAACTTTAAATCTTTCAATCTTGATCGCATTTGTTTACTTGCTTAGAAGTTTTATGTCACTGATTTTGATAGACAAGACATGCATCATTTGAAATGTCAACTGGATCATTATCAATTTGACGTGGGTCACCATGAAAGGTTTCAAAGTATGTCTATAATTTCAGAATTATGTCGTGGTTTAGTAGAAACAAATAAAGTAAAGTTCTACAATTTGATTAATAGGTTGATTCGTCTTATTTTAACTCTTTCTGTTTCTACGGCAACTTCAGAAAGAGCTTTTTCAACCATGAAACATGTTAAAAGTACTCTTCGTAACAAGATGGAAGATGCGTATTTGACTGATTCGTTAATTGTCTACATTGAAAGATAAATAACGGAAGTAATCGATACAGATTTAATAATATATGTCTTTTGTTCTGTAAAGGATCGAAGAGTTCAATTTTATTAATAAGTGTTTATGAGTTTACATTTGTATTATTAAATATATATTTATAAGTTTACATTTGTATTTTGTTAGTTATATAAATGCATAGTTTGGTCCGAAATAAACAAAAATTCTGTCTCCGTCTTTGGCTACACGACAAAGGGATCCGAACGCCGTAGCAAAGGCATTTGTGGAGCACTACTACTCGACGTTCGACGCGCCTCGGCCGGGGCAGGTTAGCTTGTATCAAGATGAGTCCATGTTGACTTTCGAAGGTCAGAAGATCCTGGGCTCTCAGAACATCGTGGCCAAGCTCACCAGCCTCCCCTTCCAGCAGCGCCAGCTCCAAATCACCACCGTCGATTGTCAGCCTTCTGGACACGCTGGTGGTATACTCGTTTTCGTCAGCGGCAATCTGCAACTTGCTGGTGAGCAGCATGCTCTCAAGTTGAGTCAGGTATTTCTGCAAACACCTTCCGTACTTATGCTGAACTGTGTTTTTTTCTTTTGCTTGCAGAATTGTGGAATTTATTACCAAAATACAACACTTTTCAAACAAAAATACTAATCTAAGGTTCTTTTAAACTTATTTACCGATCTACAGAAGTTTTTGAAAGCAAAATTGTTGATTCGGTCTTTGAAACCGGAATCAACAATTCCGCTTTCAACAAGTGATACAACAAAAAGGAAAAAAAAATTTTTTTGTAAGTATTAAAAACGGTCTTGTTGATTCTGCTTTCATGGTGAAAGTAGAATTATTGATTTCGCTTTAAAAATTATAATAGATCGGTAAATAAGTTTAAAAGTGTGGTAAATTGGTATTTTTGTTTGAAAACGGCTGTATGGTAATAGACTCCGGAATTGTGCATATTTACTTGTTGTGATATACGAGCTTAATGTAGCGTTGCTTAGTGATCAGTTTATGATATGTGTGGGATTGATGGTTCTGATGCTGAGACGATTGATTTGTTATTGCTGCTTCTAACTGCTGGACTTGTTGTTGATTTGTTTTTGCTGCTTCTAAATGCTGGACTTGTGGTTGCCTTATTTAAATGTTGCAGCTAGATGCTGTTTAAATTCTGAGTACTAAGTGTCATGAAATGTGCATGTTGACGTGGTAGTCTGTGACTATTATTCAGAGGTTCGACCGTCCGAGGATGAATTTGAATTTGTCATCTTGGGTATATTACAGAAAAAAGGTGTAACTAGTCTAAGTGAGAGACCTGCATTCCAAATCCAAACGGAGGAGGTGTTGGGGACATATGCACGAGTTGACAGCTCAAAAACATTTAACTTTCTGTTGTTAAGTCGCGAATTTGATTCGATTGGGCGTTGGTGCAAGAGAGAAGGGATTTGGTTTTTGGGGCTGATGGGTGGTTGTCGATGTTGGTGGTCAGGGTTATTGTGGTGGTGTTGGTACCTTTAGGTGGGTTTGATTAAAGTGCATGTGTTTCAATACACATTGGGTGATGTCGACTGAAGTTTTTTTTTTCCTTTTTTTGAACTGTGATGTCCAGTGACGTTTTGAGAGAGAAGTTGGGTAGTTCTTGTGTTCAATATGTAGGAAATACAATGTTATTTCCGTAAAGGATGTTCTTTTGAATATATGGAACAAGAAAGAAAAAACAAAAAAGAGAAGCTAGCTCAGGGGTTAACCAAATCATATTAACGAAGTTATCCTTGGCTTGGCAATGGAGTCTATAAAAGGCAGAATTAGAATTTTGATGTAATAAGCAACCTTTTAAGTGCTTTTCAACTTCAACTTATAAAAGCGCCATCCAACTAAATTGCTCATTTCTGCTGCTGCTGCTGCTGCGAAAACGCGAATTATGTTAGGCAGATACAAAGCGTGAATCAGAATAACTTGATCATGACGTTCACTTTTTTCCCCTCATCATCCATTGCCTCTCTCTTCCCCATAAAAAAAGCATGACTTATATATAAACACATTTCTCACAACTAATATCACCAACTTTATACTATCTTGAAGGAAAAAGAATTGAGAAAGAGGCAAGAAGGAGAGAGCAAGGAAAGAAAAAGAAATAGAAGATGTCAGATTGGGGGCCGGTGTTTGTGGCGGTGGTGCTCTTCATACTGCTAACGCCGGGATTGCTGATTCAGGTACCCGGACCCAACCGATGTATCGAGTTTGGCAACTTTCAGACGAGCGGAATGTCCATACTGGTTCATTCCATTCTCTACTTCGCTCTCATCTGCATTTTCTTGTTAGCTGTGGGGATCCACATGTACACTGGATAGTAGTTCTCACAATCACCACCACCCACCCTTTAATCCGACTTTGCATCCTTGTGTTTCTTGAGAAATTGTTTGTACCCAGAATTTTTATGTAATTTGGTCTGATTCCTTTTTCCCTGCATGTTACTTCTCGCTTCCAGATGAAGTTAACGAATCATCATTTGATTGATATTGCAAAATACTGATTTGTTATTTTGGCTTTGTTTAAACTTATTTCTTTGGACTAATAGAATATGTGTGTGATCCTCTGCATGAGAGATCTGTTTGAGAATGTAGTTTCATTTTGATCAATGTAATTCCAAGCTGATGTTAAGCAAGTATGGAAGGATATTTTTGAGTACTGTTGAGTCGGTAATCTCTGCAATTTGGATTACATCCTTTTTGTTTTTTTTTTGGCTAAATTTGGATTACATTCTTAGATCCATAGGGTTAGCAAGTAGAATTGCAATTTTAGATGAACATTGAGTTTGGAATTGGGTTTTTGCAGTGGGAGGAAAAAAAAAGAAAGGGCTTCACCCCTGAGAATGAATTAGCTTGAACTACAACTGAAACTGGCAGTTTCCAATTTTCTGTCACCTAAGAAGTAATGGTTTCGTCAGAAAATGATGAGATTACATGGAGCAAAATCTCTAAAAACAAGAAGCATACAACCTTAAGTTGTGTTCGTAGACTGAAGAGGAATGCTCATAATTGCTTCCTACGCATAGAGATGGACATTAAGTATAACAAGGAACAGAATAAGAAGCAAACCACAGATAACAGTGTGCAACAATATGGAGGCTACAGTACTGGTTTTCATTTCCAAGAAATCAATAGGCCTATGCTTCCGAGGAAGTTGAAAGATTTGTCCTGGCGACAGAAATGCAAACAGCGCTGCAGCTTTGAGTGGAGCGAGCTGCCTAATCATTCACCCCCTCCACCTTCCTAGTTTTGATTCTTCCAATAAGAGGACGGAGGAGGAGGAGGAGGAGAAAAAGAAGAAAAAAAAAAAAGGGGAAGGGGGGGGGGGGGGGGGGGGCTTAGAATGCCATCTAATGTGACTGCAAGTACTTTGGAGAGGGAATGAGAATACCATAAAGTTAAGAATATCAAAAATTAATCATCCACTTTCCATTTTGTTCTAATTGCTTATTTGCATTTTTGGATGGGGCTTGGCATCATTTTTCTTAAAAGACTAATGGACACTTTGAAAAGCGGATATGGTGGTTGAGGCCTATGCTTCAGTAACCGAATAGGGCATACCTCCCCGATGGTATTTGAAATTTTAATCTCTCCTGCTAACATGGTCCCAGGTTTTGCTATTTGTAAATACATATTTTTTATTTTTTCATTTACTCTTTGGGCAAATGGCAAAGGGGGGTATTTTTTAATTTAATTTAATTTAAGCAGTTATCGCTTCTTATATGATGAAATAAACCATTAATCAATAAAATTGTTGTTTTGGTAAGGGTTACTGCTAGTTTTCTTTTTATTTATTAAATGTTTGTTTATGCCCAAGGCGCCCATTAAACCTTTTGTGCTTGCAAATTGTTCCAAACTCCAGCGTCCCTATCTAGAGTGTAGCGGGTCCACTAGTACTAGCGAGTAGCGACCATGCCCCCCTCTAATCTCACTCTCCAGCTACAAGAGAAGAGCTTACTGGATTTGTGGCTAAGAAAAGAAGGTGCAGTGCAACAATGGCGGATTGGGGTCCCATACTGATCGGACTAGTACTGTTCGTGCTGTTGCAACCTGGACTACTCTTTCAGCTACCTGGACACAACAAACAGCTGGAGTTCGGAACCATGAAGACCAACGGCATGGCCATTGCAGTCCACTCTCTTCTTCTTCGTCCTCTACACTCTCCTCATCCTGGTCATCCATGTCCACATCTACATCGACTGAATTCGTCTCCATCTTAAATTTTTCACCATTTTCTTAAGTCCCCTGGGTATATATGTTTATTTTAGCCTCTGAAGATCTGTCTGTGTTTATATTGGTTTTTAGTTTGATTTGTTCTATTTGACTAATAAAGAGGTTCATTTTGTGTGCTACAGGTTTTTCTTTATTTGGAACTTCAATTATATACCACAGATCTCATATCGGGAGGAAGATATGATAGGAAGCAGACGGTAGACTTTCTTATCAATTATCATTTGTGATGTATGAGCCTTTATTTCTATCAGTGGGACACTCACTTCACAAGACTTTCCCAATTTCTAACCATTTCCAAGTTCTCATGATACTTGACTTAGCCACATCTTGTTATATTTTTTCTTCTTTTTGCTTTTCATCAAATTCTGTAACGAAATTAAAGATCATTTTCAGTCTCCATGTAAACCAAAAAAGCAGCCACACAATGTAAAATAGCATGCCAAAGTAGAGAAATTTTAAAAGGAAAAGAAGATAGAACAGGACACCTATCCCCTGCTCTGCTCTATGAAAGAGGTAGATCTATACATTTTATGGTTGTTATCACCCAGTACGTATGTGAACACCTATTGCAACGATCAAGATGGTGTATATACAGACGTATAAGATGGCATGAACTAGAATGGAAATGCCACTGGTATACATGTTGCCAAATTCGATCACCCTCATCCTCGCTGGTAGCTGGAATAGCAGTCCGGGTGAAAGGAGAATGAACATGACCACTGCAACAACCACCGGTCCCCAATCAGCACCCATTCTCTCTCTCTCTCTCTCCCCCCTACTCTGTGTGTGCGTGTGTGTGTGAAGTGAATGAAATTTGGTCTCTCTTTTCTTCAAGTATGGTTGAGAAAGGAAAGTAATTCTCTGTACAAATTTGTAGTGGCGCTGATTTACTTAGCGAAGAAGGAGATGGAGATACTAAACTTAAAAGAGAGAGAAGATATAAGGTTTAAAGGTGGGGAAAGGTACGTTGTGGTGGTGGGTTTTGCTTTATGGGGATAGGAAGAAACAACTTTTCCTAATTAGCTTCCAATAATTGATCGTTTGATTGGTTCCTTCCCATGCTTTAGAAAACGTTTCTTAATGAGATTTGGGTAAAGTGTTGGTGCGTGTATATAAAGGTAGACTTGCTAAAGCTAGGTTGGGTTGAGCACTTGAGCTGTACGTGAGTAAAATGTATTTCATGTGTACTCAAGAGGAACAAAAAATGTCGAATTGTACTTGCCACCATAGGTATTGGGCTCAAAGGCAACAGTGGCCTACCTATTGGGCAGGAACCAATTTAAATCATGGGTGCTAGTGGTGGCCCTAGCCTTTTTGGATTTTGCCATGCTCCAATGCTTCCTAATATGGCTTCAGAATCCGCCCCATGTTTATACCCATAATATTAATCTCCCAGTCAATATCAACATAGAAAAGTTCACACAGACGTCCCAAGAAAGATAAACAGCCAGTGGTGGCGAATCCAATGCCTCATTGCCGGATCAATTTGTCACTGAACTGAGCTTTCTCTCATCGCATTTAATCTCCTTCTAGGCAAGTCTTCAACCCACACTAGAGGCAGGTAAAGGAGAGAGAGAGAGAGCTGATGGCAGATTGGGGGCCAGTGGTCGTAGCACTGGTGTTGTTCGTGCTTTTGACGCCAGGGTTGGTGTGTCAGCTCCCTGGAAAGAGCAGAGCAATCGAGTTTGGCAACATGCAGACGAGTGGAGTTTCTATCTTTGTCCACACCATCCTCTTCTTTGGCTTCATTACCATCTTTCTCATCGCCATTGGTATTCACATCACCTCTGGCTAATTAAGGTTACCGTCTGCACCACCTGCCCAGCCGATTACTAAACAACATCTCCGTCTGTTTGCTCCTTAGGACAACATTCTTAATCCAAGTCCACATTGTATACAGCCTCATCTTGTCATCTATACCTTTATTACAACTTACAGCACTCATCATCCCGTTTGCTGTTCTTGTTTGTGTTTTTATTCTTTTCCAAGGGTTCAGTATCAAATTCTCTATATAGTTTTTAATGCATTTGTAATTTTGCATAAATACTACCAGGCTGTCATGTGCGAGAAGTTAAATTTGCACAGGTTAACAAAGGAGTAGTAGCTGGGTAAATGCGGAAACTAAACTACCCTCTTTCAAGCTTAATTTATGCTATCATAGTTAAACAAGGATGTCCAAAAATAGAGGACTGACTCGCAGTTTGTTTCAGGCTCTTTTTAGGAGAAATAACCAAAAATATTTTCCATCTTATATAACTGACCTACTAATATAGAGTTATTGCATTACCACAATCAGAATACTTGGAAAACATTTATCAATACAGAAACATCATTGCCTGGTCTTCCATTCGAGCCAGACAAATCTATTTGGACACCGAATGGCAGGGGCAGGGGCCAAGATAAGGATACATTTCCTAATTAAGCTCAGTTTGTATTCTAACTAATCTCAAAAATGGTCTACTCTCTCTAGCCGTCTTCGTCTTCATGCAAATTACCATGCTGCAAAATTGAACAACCCAGGATAGTGTAAACCTGCTATATTCTTTTACTCACAACAAACTCAGTCATGGCTGAGACAGAGATCCAACCAATTCTAATTTTGCTCAACAATAAATATAGTATGCACAAACAAGAGATCATTACGAGAGCAATCATATTAAAATAACTAAAATTAGTGGGGAGAAAATCACAAAAATACAGACAAGTAGTGTGTAAATCTCGAACAGAGAAAGAAAATTAAGAGAAAATACTCACCGTGCACATCCTTATGCGATCCAGAGGCTGCTGGACAGAGAAAAGCACGGCCCAATTCGGACAAATTTTGCACAATACCTACAAAATAGAACAACAAGACGAGGCCGACTACACAAGGCATCAGAATGAAACCAATCAGGAAGGTCACCGACCCAAACAGCATCAAAGCGAGTGAAATTCCGAGAAACAGAGACGCAAAGGCGGTTGGAGACGCCTGCGACCAAGACGATGAAACAGAGGACCCCAAAAGGCTCGGAAAGGGAGTGGGAAGAGGCGGTGATCCGAGGATGTGAATAATCATAGAACAGAGCTCGTAGAAAACCCTAGTTTGCTGATCTTGCGTTCTCATGTTCATCGGAAGAGCAATTACCGGTTGGTTGCAACTGGAATATTAGAACCTTCCATTCCCTACGTTCCAAACCCTAGTCTGAAAATAAGAAGTAGATAAGAATAATGTTTGTCTTCTTCTCTTCGTTCGTTTATCCCAGAAATCGAGACGAACGGATAAGATCAGTTCTAACTTTGACACCCTGCTTTGCTTACTGAAGGTGAAGGATGATGATATTGGACGCCGCCTACGTTCGTTTTTTTCATGCTTTATTATGTAATCTGTCTGTTACTGAATGTCAGAGTCTACGTTTGTGAGTCTGCCATTGATGGCTGAGGTACTGACATTAGTTTTTTCTGAGAGGCCATTCCAGGTTATTTGGGCCCATTATGGGCCAGAAAGAAATGCTAAATGGGCCAATTAGGACACACGACACAAACAAAGTTGTCCAATTACAAAGAGAACATGGTTCGGGCCAAGGCCATCACACATTTCTTCTTCTCGTCCTTGCCAGTAACCCTCTAAAACCCTAACAATTGAAATCGACAGACCTATCTCAAGGCTTCATCGCAGAAGATTAATTGTGTTGTGAAGACTGCGAAATTTGGGCTTGGGAGAGCAAAAAATGGCATTGACGAATTTCATACTGACAGTGGCAGGCGTGAGCGCGCTGATTTTACTGATGAGGAGCGACGTCAAACAAACGGCGACCATCTTCAGGCGCAACGCTCGTCAGATTCGCCATTGGCTCGAAGAAGAGTCCGCCTCTGCAGCCAAGTACCCCCCCCCCCCTTCTCTCCCTCACCCATCTCCTTTTGATCCATGGATATTTCATACAATCACTAACATATATTAAAATCACATTACCTATTATTTGGAATTTCAAATTAATTCTGGAGTTATAGACCATGAGATGCCTTACGGATTCATTTAGTTTATTATGGGAACCAACTTTTATCAATTTGACTACATTATTTTTGTTGGTTCCTTTTTTAGGGAGATGGAGAAGGCAAAACCCAAGGAGCTACCTGGGAAAGATATTCCTAAGGAGGACAAGCATTAGATGTGCTTGAGCTTCAAGTAAAGTAATTGTGTTTTGGGTTGGACATTTTGTCCCGCAAATTTTTTTGACTGATTGCACTTTATTTCTGCTCTCAAGTAATTGTCTTTTCTTTTTAGTAGCACTTTGTATACTTTTATTAATGCTGCTGTGTGATACCCCAAGTATATATATATATATACTTTTATCAAATGCTTTGTTTATATTTTCACTCCTTCAACTTACTGGTAATATTTGTTGCACCCAAGTTTACACAGATCATGGACCGGCATGGCTCTTGGGTGTTCAGTGGTGGTTGATTAGCCTACAAGCCCTACACTCTTGTTAGATTTGATAACTACATAATCCTATATATGGACAGCCTCTGTTTGTTTGTTTGTTTATCGGGAGAATCTAACCCGATACTATTTCCTTTCCATTTTACCAATGGGCCTAACCCCAAGCTGAGGCCAGTCTTCTTTTCTTTCATTCTGTATTGCACTGGAATTGACAACACAATTGGCGATTCCATTTCCTTATGCCTCAAACCTCCATCAGCCAGCAAGATAGTATAAGGACACGACAATAAGTTGAATGAGAGATCATAATGGCCGAAGTTCAGCATAATCTGATGATCCATGGTTAGCATAATACCTCTGCATTTTAAAGTGTGCATGTCATCAGAAGAAATTAACATGGTTGAGGTTAGGCCTCTTGTAAATTTGTTGGGTTTGATTGCATTGGAAATATTGGATAACTGAGGAGTTTCAGTTTGAGTTATAGTTGTATCAATCGTGGAACCATTGTTGGGTTATACACAATATAATTTCAAAAGCAAGCTGCTATTAAGGTGAAAAACTAAGTGTGTCAATCCCTCCTCTTTTTGGTTCAGAGGGAGGCTAGATATCACATTTACAACACGTGCAAGGAAACAAGGATGCCTCGGCATCTGGCAACCACTTGATTGTAACTGAAACAACCATTTGGCAGAAATATTTCAGGATGGCCACAAGACACAGCTGCAATCATCCACGAGCTTTCAAGAGGTTTTTTTTTTTTTTCCCCTATCCATCCGCATTCCACTGGATTGCCAGCCACAATCCTTTTTCTCTGGACCTTAAAACAAATAGGACTGAATTTATCAAGCTAGATCGTCACATGACAGTACTTAGGTAAGAAGAAAAATAAATCAGATATCATTGAATAATCATATACACTCCACAAATTCGTAGCAAAGAAGCTTTCTTCAGCTTACCATCAATAAGAGACATTTGATAAAGTTCAGAAACTACTGGACGTTGCACAAAATACACAGAAGCCTACTACTTGCAGGAAAATGAGAGCATTTGAGGTTGTATTTCCAACAATACATCAGAACCAATACATAGTATCCCATCATTCGGATCATTGGTATTGAGGGCATCAGGAATGGAAAATGGATCAATTGATTCGGCCGCCATACCTTTTGAATTTGAGTGCTCAGAGAAGTCACTAAAACATGAGCTGGTGAGTTCAGATTGATTTAGATGAATCACATCCTGCTGCACCAAATTGCTCCAAATGGTCCCCAGTGTTTGTGCTGAATTTGTTGACAGAAGAGAGAGAGCACGCTTGGATTCCTCCAATTGTGTCAATGTGTTGGATAACATTTTCAGGGGACCTCTACCACTTGCAGGTGAAGCATTGGTATCAGGAAGCCGTTGAGAGGTCATTTTTTTGGCGGGGGAAGCAGCTTGATTGCTTTTTTCAGGGTCATTGACAAGCAAGAACGGAAATTGTCTCTCTATTTTACTGGAGATGCGAGCAAAGGAATTTGAAGAAGTACTTTGTTGAATAATTGCATGCAATTTCTGGCCGTGTTTATCAACACTGGGCCAGGCACCACTACCACCTGCTCTATTGGTTGCATATGCTTGTGGACCACTAAACTGCAACAATCTCGCACCTGAGTTTTGGGTAGAAATGTTAAATCCACAAACAGTTAACACTCTTGCTGGTCCTTGTTCAGGTGGTTAGCTTCTGTCTTACAAAGCAAAGAAAGAGTGAAGGGGGTAGAAGAGCACCAGGATCAGAAGAACAGCTACATACACAAACAATACTATGCTGATATTATTCACAGACAAATATGTACTTAGATTATATCATCACAATAGGCAATTGAGTGGTAGGAGGCCTCATCTTTCGGAGTACTGTTCCTGATTCACCCAATCTACAAGATAGCCCTTCTAAAGTAAGCCTTTATAGATTGGAACTTGGGAGGTTGCCTTTGATGCCATTATTTTGTGGGCATATCAGTTCTAGTATAATTTATTTCCCTAATTGTAAGTACAAATGCTAATTATCATTCATCACAATAGCTGCCACAGATTCTAAGATGACCATACTTATGACAATAGACTCTGCCCACAAGTAGAGACACCAAGAAGCTGTTCAATTTTTAACAAGTAACAAGAAACAGTGATTTGACTTTCTTGGCAGAGCAGCAAAGAGATTTTTGTCAAAAGGTATGCAAAGGTAGCTTTCTTATAATTAACTGTTCATAGTCAACCAAAAAAGATTTTGGTGTAACTGTTGAAAATTGTAAAAACAAATGAACACAAACTAAGCTAGCACAATTGCACAAAAACCCAACCTTTCAGAATCTTTAAGGCTGAAGGTGACTCCAATCATTTACTAGTTTGGGTGGCTATGATCTTTGGCAAGCTCAGCCAATATGATTAGATGATGTTCATACCAAAGAATACCTATTTTTTTGTTCTTAAACCACGCAATATTTCAAGCAAGATTGAGCAAAATTGAATTGTAATTTAACCATCATGCTGCAATTGTAAAATAGTAATTAAAACATTGCATTTTGGGTAGAAGAAAGAATCCAAACCATGGTCATTGTACAGAAAGCTCCTCATGAATACAGATTCTGGCTGAGGTTTTCTTCTACGGCGGTTGTGACCATCAAGACGTTTTCTGCAGCTTCTCTTCACTTCATCAAACTCTCCCAGAGAATGAAATCTACCCAAAAAAAAAAAAAAAAAGACTGACTTGGTGAAAAGTTAAGGTTTGTAAATTGTCAGACAATGGCAAATATAACTATTAGTCAATGCAGGCTGGACTTAGCAACTAATTGCTGAAAAATGAAATTAAATACACGGGCATTTAAAAGAGGAAAACCAGAATAACTTTAAATTACAGAAGAATTGATGACCTTAATTGCCACTGAAGTTACAGAAGAAAGGTAAATGTTAGCTTGCACTAGTTTTGTGCTCAGGTAGCACCCTCACACTGGTTATTCCCAGTTGGAAGTCCTGGATTTCAGCCATTCATATTATCAGATATTTTCAAAATACATTAGAACAAAACTTAGGTAGTTACAAGATGGACAACTAAATGCACACACGACAGATAGTAACAAAAGGACAAAAAAAAAAAAAAAGCAATGGCGTTCCTCAGCTTGGTAGCATGACAGAAAATATCAATGCTAATAAGACAGTTAAGTTACCAAACAAACTTGCTGTGAACTCAGAAACTCGGCTTCATTGTTGAATTAAAAACAAAACAAAGATTTGACATGCAAATGACAATTTAAGAAACAAATCTTGAGCTTATGAGCATCCAATCATTTCAATAGGGACAGTCATGTTAGTAGAGTAGTATTTCAGAAAAATCCCAATGTGCAACAACTTCCTCATGATCATTCAATTTGGCTACAAAGATAGACAAGCAATTTGGCTACAATTTTCTACATCCACATATCGTACAGCTGATTGAGTGGCCTCTCTCAGGGATGCCTACTTTCCATCCATGTATTATGAGGATTTTGCCATTGATGACAGAACATTTGAAGCATTAAAAAGATACCCAAATGGAATTCAAGAAAGTTCAGATCTATCCAAATTCAAGAGTGGTCTTGTTAAGTTTAATGTGATATTCCCCCATGAAGGGGTACATCCATGAGGACTTAAAAGAACCTAAGATTTATGGCTTTACCATGCCACTCTGAAGCAGTAGAACATTCAAAACTTCAGCAGTCGTACTGCCACCTTTTTGTTAAAATTTCTTCCTATTACAACCACTAGGCAGAGAACATACGCCCAGGGGGCACGTATTCTCCTTGAAGACATATAAAAGTTAAAACACTCAAAATTGGAGCAGTTGTAGTGCCACCTTTTGTTAGAATTTCTTTTATTACAACAGTCAGAGAACATGTACCCAGAGGGTATGGGTATGGACTCTTCTTGAAGAACACTTTAATTCTTGTTCATGTGGTTATTTATAATTTCTTCACCCAAATTAATTTCTATCAAATTGAACTCAGACAGTGAGCAGGATAGATCTCCAGCTAATTCGAAGAATATTTATTCCATACCTGCTGCATTGCTGGCAGAACCTTTGCTCTTTGCCACCAACAGTCACAACTGGGGTTTCGAGTGACGCTCACATACCCTATGGCGCTGATGATACTCCCTGCAACTTTTGAGATCTGTGGTGCAGCCGTCCACTAAGCACAATACATTTTGAGTTCCACCAATTGCACGTGTCCGCTTCAATGAACTGGATGGTGACACAGTAGTTGATCTCCTTCCCTCCTGCAATTTATCCACTCCCCCATCTCTCAATTTTCTTAATCTGCCAAGTTCAAAATCAACAAAGAAACCTCCTCCATCTTTCTGCCGCCCTAAGCTATTAGATCCAACACAGGCAGCAAGGCAGCCATTGTCTACTTGGCCAAATTCAGTCAAGTTCCAATCAGGTGATTTCAACATCCTGTCCATAACACTTTCCCCTTTCACTCTGAAAATCCTTTTTCTCCTTGGCTCTGTTTATTATCCTCAAAATCAGAAAAGCTCCTAAAACAACTTGTCTCACTAGACCATTGAATAATAAAATTTCAGATATGCTACTTGAACTCAACCCACTAGAGCCATGCATCCGAATATTTCACTAAAAGAAAAGATAAATATAAAGGTAAACTTAAAGGAACCAATATATGAAGTCTGTAGATGTATTTAATTGCATAGAAGCCAAACTGTCAAAAATCCAGTTCAAAGAGAGAGGGTGTAGTAAGCTTGATACAGTTTAAAAATTAAGCACAAAATAAAGTGAACCAATGATTCATTTTACTCTCTTACCTGAATAAGTATGTATCCCAAACACGGGCTGAAATCCCCAACACTCTTACCGTAGCAAGAGCAGTTAAGTCTACATAGTAACTCTCTTTAATAAATAGCACTAGAACCAGGAAGAGCAAAACGCTCTCTCTCTCTCTCTCTCTCTCTCACACACACACACACACACATTTAGAGAGAAAATATAAATGTCTGAAATACCCAGAAAACAAAAGAGCATTTCGCACTATCTCAGAAATGAATCAAGAGACTTCAACGGAAAAAAACAAAGAATCTAGAATTCAAGGAAGATAGGAACTTGGAAAGAGAATTTCCATTGATTAATGGCCTCTTAATTTAAATCAGTGCAGTTGTCCAGAGCATGTAGTGGTATACAAACCAACAAAATTTTAAACAAAGAGTGAAGAACTCTTAAAAGAGAGAATATTTGATTGGTACTTACAATTAGTTGAAGCATAAGAAAACTGATTTGTGACTTCGTTTCGGTAATTCATTCCTGGAATGGATCCACACAAACATCAACAAAGATGAAAAGCAGAAAGCATAACAATCCCTGTAGTCTTTAGCAACAGGTTTAAGGAGTTATTGACTATTGTTCATTGCATGTTGGGTGCTCAATATATAATATGGTTAGTTAAAGAAAACAGATAATGCATTAAATGAGGCAACTTGAGGATTAAGAGGTGAAAGAAACTGGAGAAGAGGACCCCCACAGGACCTGAGAGTGAGATTTGTTTTGTTTTTTTCTATTGACCCCTCTATTTTTGGGACATTGGAGGATGACTAAGTAATAAGTTTAAAAAAGGGGAGACAAAGGAAGGACAGTGATAAAAGAAGAGTAATCTTACGTGGATTTAAAAAATATATTTAAAAATTAAATTTGATAATTTTAATTATTAATTTTATTATGAGTCTTAATATTTTTTTGAGATCTATTATATGTTCAATGATTAAGATTATCAAGTCTAATTTTTAAATTCAACTAACACTGCTCATAAAAAAAAATGGCAGGTATATATCAAAAAGATTCTTTTAAAGAAATTTATAAATTGAATGGAGTTTTAAACCCGAAAAGCAGAGACGGAGCCATTAGTGGGCTGAAGTCCAGAGTAAAAAAAAAAATTATTATTTTCATACAAGTCTATCAGTACCAGTCCACTAAATTACTAATTATTAGCCCAATTTTTTAAAACTCTTAAGGCTTAAGCCCCAATAATCATGAAAATAAAGAATTTTTCATGATTTTTTATTCCTATTTTGATCGGAACAGAGAGGAAATTATACAAGAGGAGATGAACAGCTGGGCCAGGGTGGACAAGTACCCTCCTTAAAAAAAAAAAATTATTAGTATGATATATGTATTTATATAATATATTGTGTGTCCCCCTCATTTATATTAGGCCCACATTATTTATCCAAAAAAATTAAAAAATTTAAGCACAATATTATCTACCCAAACTTATTAAAATCTACCCAAATCTATTACAAAATTTTTTGACCCAACATTAAAAAAAAAAAATTTTGGGCCACATAATATATTAAAAAATATTTGAATTTTGTTAGTCGTATGAATGTTTAACTTAACTCGGGATAAACAAAAATTCTGCTCCGCCCTTACCGAAAGGTATAATCTCAATATTTATTTATTTGTATGTACTTGTTGAAATTGTGAGCACATCATCAGCCTAGCTATTGGGTTGGGTGGTTGAAGTCACGCTGCTAATTCATTATGAAAAATGTTATTTACGTCAAAAAATTTGACATAATTTGTTGACTTAATAACGTGCTTTCATTGAAATTATTGGATTAACACTAAGTTCTAATATTTGATGGAACTCACAGTCAATCTAAAGATCATAGTGAATTAGATCAATAAATTATATCCTAATAACATTGCTCATTAATTATTAGTGTAGCCTAATTAAGAGACGACGAATGTCTAATGAAGCCAGCTGCCGTTATTAGCTAATGGCCAAGTAGGCCATAACAGATTAATTAATAATATTCCTTTACATCGCTGTCGTGTCCTCCGTCGGCAGTCGGCAACAGATGGTCGGAAAGTGCGTGACACGTACACATTACATAGGATAGGATAGGATAATCATATCAGAGACGATTTATTGCCGGTTCCACCACCCACAATCGCATCGCAGGGGATCCGGCTCCTCTGCTGTTTCTAGCGAACAGCAGCCCCTGCTGTTCCTTTAAACGGCACCGTTTGGTGCCTTTTTAAATCAACTGCGAATAACACCTGGTAAATAGGAATCGTAATCACCTGCCTATTGGTCAAAATTATAAGTTTTTCGAGTAAAAGCTTTGCATTGGAAAAACATATGATTAAAGTTTATATTCAATTAAACTTATTTTTGGAATTAATTAGATTATCGAAAAATTATTTTTTTGGTACAATATTTTAACTTTTCTAGTGAAAAATATGATGCGTTCAAAATTTTTATATTATATGACAAAATGTAGATATATGATAAAATATCGTATCATATTTTAACTTTTCATCCAATAAAAATGTGGGATATGTAAAATATTTATATTTTATTTTTACAACACATATTTGAATCCATTAAAAATAAAAAAAAATTGAACTAATCAGAGTAAATTTGCCAGACGAAAAGTAAATTTATTAGATTTCAAATTCGATTCTGAACATTAATCGATTATATTTCAGTTTACGATTTTAGATATTGGATATATCTAAATTTTATTAGGATCGTTATCCGACCTGAATTATATGTATAAAATAAAATAATTATTTGATGAGATTGTTTCAAAATTATGATGCAATTTGCTAAAATTTTATTTCAAAGTTATTCGGATCAGATTGAATTTTTTATTTTAACAGATTAAAATTTGAATTTTTTATTTTAATGAATTCAAATATAATTTTTTTATGTTAATAAATTCAAATATGTGTTGTAAAAATAAAATATAAATATTTTACATATTCTACATTTTTATTGGTTGAAAAATTAAAATATGATACGATATTTTGTCATAGTTCTGCATTTTGTCATATAATATGAAAATTTTGAAGGCGTTACATTTTTTTCATTAGAAAAGCTAAAATATTATACCAAAAAAATAATTTTTTCGTAATTTAATTAATTTAAAAAATAAATTTAATTGAATATAAACTTTAATCATATGTTTTTCTAATGCAAAACTTTTACTTGAAAAACTTATAATTTTGACCAATAGGCAAGTAATTATAATTCTTATTTGCTGGTGTCATTTGCAGGTGATTAAAGAAACGGCAGGGGCTGCTGCTCGCCAGGAACAGCAGAGGAGCCGGATCCCCAGTCCAGTCCTGTGCAGTGGGCTTGCTCGCTCTACACTTCTGCTTCACCTACCAACCCATACACATTTGTGGTAAGATAAGAATTCTTTTTGTTTACCACTTAGGAAGAAAAAAAATTCAGAATTTCTAGGCTAGCTGGTGTTCATGTCTTTCAGAAGCCAGACTGGTGAGTCATAAAAAGGTGCGTGGCTTGTGAATCCCGTAGATCCTCCAAGGAAATTAAAGGACATGAACACTTCTTACATTTGACACATTGTATATAACACAGTTTCCAACAATTAACCATATAAAAGTGAGAGGAATTATTGGTCTAGAAGTACTTACCAGGATTGCTTACCACTACCAGATGGCATGACAGAGTGAGATGTATATATAGGTCCAAAGAATACACTAATTAACAGATTTTGTAATTATTTATTATCACAGATACATCTCATCGTCTGAGCACCTGCACCTCAAACCGATACAGAACTTGGTTTTCAATTTTGAGGAGTAACCTGAAATGTGTATACCCAAGCCATGCATGCACCCTTTACAGAAGAACTATCTCTAGTTTACTTCATCCATAAGAGGACTTTAAAAGGGAGGGCAAATTCGCATCTGACTCAAGATTTGCTCAAAATTGTCAGCAGGTTTCTCTACTGGATGTGTGTGCATCCCCTCATAAGTAGTCACCACAATGCTCTCATCACTAGTTAGGCGTTGGACTTGCTTCTTAACATTGCATCCTTGATGAGTGCACCGGTAGTAGCTCCTGCAAAAAAGGAACTGATTAAATTGATTCAAGGATCTTCAGTTTTTTTTTTTTAGCTTCGCTGAATACCAACCAAGGATCAAAAAATCACAGTGACACTGATATATATATATATATATATATATGGTGATTAGTACATCATTTTTCAGCTCTCATGTGTTTACCAATATTTACCCAAATGAATTTGTAAATGAGCACCTGTTTTCCCCGTACTGAAGTTTTCAACATTGCTTAGTTTTGGCACCAATAGCATTATATCAACACTAGACAGTTGAGATATATACTTGAAATAGTCACTTGCCGAACCTAGTTTTTAATTAATAGTTCCTAAATTTAACGCATCATGTTTAGGGGTTCGTAATTGATCAATGCATTTCTTTGTGGAAGTTACAATTCTCATCTCTTCATTGTAGTTGTAGATGAATGATTAAAGGTTAATCTCTATGTTGCTGTCGTGAATATAAGTGCATATAAACTGACCCCGAAGAAGGTCATGTGATGGTTTATCACTTTTTTGATTCCAAGACATGTAGCCATAGCATCAACATATGCTCCTCTAGCTAGAACGCAAAGGCAATTGACTAATAACAATATAAGATAAAATTCATGCTGGCACGGCTATAACATAGGGAAGATACATACCACAATGAACATATGCAATGACGAGATCTTCATGTCACAATTTCGAGAAGAAAAAAAAAACTGTTCAACCCAAGGCTTTTCAATCCATTCCAGGATAACTGAGGAGATCTCCTGTTCTTAATATATATAATCCGAGTGTTATGGCCAAAGTCCAAATAACCAAGGGTTAATTATCATTTATCAAAAAAACTAGACGGATTTGCATCTAAATGAATGTATGCGTGCCAACCGTGTAGGAATATTTGCCATGAAGCCACATGAAAAGGCAGAAATGATTCTGATATAGAACCTCATGTAGCTATTGTTTTTTTTTTTTTCCCTTTTGTGAAAAGAAAACCCTAGAAATAGGATCCGATGTAGATGTACCATCACTTAATCCAGGACGGTAGAGTTTCAGTGAAGTGCAATTAAAACGGGCAAAAAGAAGAGGAAAATCTAACTGAACCTGACTGCATGCATGTTTTCAATAACATCATCTCAAGAACCCTAGTCCGAACTTGGAAAGAAACCCTTTATCTTTTTCTCGCACTAGGCTTCTGTACATGTGGAGAAGCTAAGTTGGAATTTCACTTTTCACTAGAGTTAGAACATTGAAGGGTGATGTTTGGAGTATACTGATTAACAAGCTAAATCTAATTTCTGTATGAATTAAGCTAAGAAGAGAGAGTTGATCTGACCTTGGAAACCTGTTGTTCTTGACTGCTTTTTGGCCGTACTTCCTCCACCGATAACCGTCATCAAGTATGTCAACTTGGCTCCTTGTTTGAAAAGCAAATCTAGGCTTCCTGATTTTCTTCTCACCCTTCTTCTTACCTTGCTTCACCTCGTTTTCAGGCAATAAAAAGTTGCCACTGTTGGGAGCACCTTTAACTCCTGTTATGGGGACAGGGATCTCTGTGTTTAAACCCAAGATTAATCCATTTGGGTTGTTATGATAAAAGTTATTAACAAAATGAGAACTTGATATGCTTGACGGGAGAGATGAATTTGAGGGAGTATTCGATGACCCAAGAAAGAGCATTGGATGATTCTCCATTGAAAAACCTATTTCTTAATTAGAAAAGAAGAATCAAAAAGAAGATGAAGCAGCGGAAGGAATTTGCGTATATATACAGATATAGTGGTCCAAACCCAATAGAGAAAGTAAGGCGGCTTGATGACCAAACTGACAATTGTAGTCGAAGAATGGCATTTTTCTTCTAATGTATGAGCGTGTGAGTGTAAAACAAATCAACGAGATGTGTACGGGCAGAGGTGTCGTAAACGAAACGTCTGTATGTTTTAAGTTAGTAGATTAGTTTCATCAACTTACCTGGCTAGAGAAAAAAAGGACGGTGGAAAAATGGTGGCGGCTTAATGATTAAGATTAAGAATATAATTGAAAGTGGTGCAGACTGCAGACTACATAAACGAGCACAGAAGATTATTAACTTTGGCTCGCTCATCGATTAGTCCTAAGCGGTGTGATGGCAGGTCTTTATTGGGCAAAACCGTACGTCACAAATCCGAGTACAAAAAACAATGAAAATTTTCTATTACTTGCTCAAATTTCGTTATAATGGTAAGAGTTTTGTACACAGAGTCCTTTAATCTTTAATTAGTTGTCAATCATCTCGTCATTCTTGACGTTATAAAAAAATGACTTCTAGTAAAGTGTTCATCCTATTATTCTTGACTTTAAGAAAAAAAGAAATTAGAGATGTTATTTTCTGTAATTTTTTATCTGGTCCTACATTCTTAACTTTAGATAAGAATGAGATTAGGATGGATTGCTCTTACCTTTCTTAATCCCAAGTTATCCAAAAAGTAAAAAATACAACTTCTAATGACTTTCACTAAAACCATATCTCATAATGTATTTAGTTAACTGAGACTCCATGTACAACAGCAATCTGCCCAATACATTTTTTTTTGGGTGCTAAAACAAGAGTGAATACCAACTCTTGCAATCTAGTTAAAATGGTCAGCAGTGGAATTTTGCTGTAATGTAATTCACATTAGTTCTTTGTGTATACGTACATGGTCACCATATAACACATGCATGCTCTACTTGGTGAAAAAGACTTTGTATCATGGTTTGAAACACAAACAGTTTCTGAACTTAGAGAGAGAAAGGCATACCTGTTGGGATGACTTCCAGCATCAGGAGGTCATCTAGCTACCAAATTCTCCATTAATTTTACCCTTTTCAATAGCTAGTCCTAGTTCCATTGGTGAGCTTTTATTAATCCTGTTTCAAGATTAGCTTTGCTACTTGCAGGGTATCTGTATATTTATAAGGATTCAACATCACCTCTGGAATGAATGTTAATAGGGGTGGGGCTTCAACCCATGCTGTCCTAGGAATGAAATTAGTTTTTCAAGTGCAACGGTACTTGGTTCAGGCTATTCATTTTTCACATATTAGATGTTTCACATGCCTTGGTTAAAGGCTATTTTTATTACACCATGGGTTAATACTAATAACTTTTTTATTGTTGTTAGATTGGCATGAATTTGAGTGCAAGCATATAGTTTTAACTATATATAATCAACAATACTTACTTTGACAGAAACCCTTGATATATACCTTAATTGGCCATGAATTTGGGTTGTTCCAAACAATCTCTTGAGTGAATAACTTTTAGTTTTTATTTTATTTATTATTTATGTGTTAATTGCATCTCGAGTGACATCGGTTTAATTTTGAAAAATTATAATTATATTTAGTGACACGTGAAATATACTAGTTTCTATCATTGAATTATCTAGAATGTATGACTATTGGAGATAATTGACCATCCGATCCATATATAGCAAGATAATTTCCATTATAAAGTTTTCAAAGAAAGAGATTAGTAGAAGGCATCCCCAACTACGACGCAATGGGGATTTGGGGGGGGGGGGGGGGGGGGGGGGGGTGTAAGAAACAGATGGAGACGGAGAGAAAAGTATGTACATGCATTTTGAAAACTTTGGACAAAAGAGGAAGTCAAGACGTGGACAGGCATTTGCATTTTTTTTTGTTTTTTAATAAGAGAAGACACGTGCATTGAAACTTGGAAAATGTAGACTACTATTCTATTCGTTTGAAAGTTTGGTTAGGAGATCCGCGCAGCCATATCTTCGACCTATGCACACGGCTGATGCTCAGAGTTGAATTATTTGGGTTCGATTTAGATTTGATTCGTATAAAATTAAATGCGAGTTTGGCTTTTTTAAAATATGAGTTGAATTTGAGTAATTTTTTAGGCTCGTGATTTAACTCGAACTCGTAAAACTCAACTAGTTTATATGTAAAATAATTCATTTTAAACTTAACTCATATTTTAAATAAGTCGAAATTGAATAATTTTGTTGGTTCATTTAAATAAATAAGTTCGACAAACTCAATTCTAACTCACAAAACTCGACTCAAGTATCAATCTTACCTACAAATTCGGCAAAGATAATTAGTGTTCATGAATTGTTTGAAATATTAAAGATCACGAGCCCTACAGTTCACAACTGCCCTCAAACGACAAAGGTTGGATATGATTTTTTTTTTTGGAAAATAGTTGGATTTGATGTCAAAAAGTTAATTTCATTGTAAATATGGAATTGAATAAGGAAAATATATTATTTTAAAATGTATAAAAACTTGAGGTCGAATTTAAAAAGATTTCATAATTGCATTGTAATCCGCCTAATAAAGCCATCCAAACAGGCCCACCATGTGCCTGGACTCTATTAGATAGTGCCTCATGCATGAACTGATGAGCAAGAGCACAGACAGCCTCTGCTACACTAGTTCTCTCTCTCTCTCTCCTCATCAATCAACTACTTTAGAATTTCGGAGGAATACAATAAGCCGCCATCCATGCATTTGCTCTCGGGATATTTTTTAGTAAAAATTGAATACTTTTTTTTTTTAGAGTGAGTGGATCATATGCCACGATTTTTGCTTGGTTTGCTTCCTGATCTTGTGGCAGATATGGAATCTCGGGTTCCACATGTCAAAAAGAACAAATTACTTTGAAAGATGCATTCCGAGTCTCCTTATTCTGTCAAGTGTCAAAAGGACCTTTTTGTGTATTTGTCTGCTTATAAAAAAAACACTTTCGGCCAATGGACTAGATTAATTCCTAAACTTCATTTCCTTTTTCATATCATTTCTGCCCCCCAATCCATGTCATGTGAATGAATATTAATTCTTACATGCGTTAAGCCATTAATTCATCATTTGGGCAGGATGCTGTTGTACTGGTAGTATCATAAAAGGGTATACATATCAAGTACTACTATGTTTTGTTAACGTCTCAATGACCTAATTAGTAGGACTACAGTAGGCAGAGTGACCAACGGAATTTGAAGCTCCATAGCAATGTTTTTCTGCTCCACTGTTTGTTAGCTTACCGTACCCCACCCCACCCATCAGAAGAAATTAACAACATTGAATTGGGAAAATGCCAAAACTGCATCAAAAACAACTACTCAAGTGCTACTTTGATTCAAATACCTATTAACTATAATAACAACAGTATTCCAACCACAATACAATGCCAGAAGGAATAAAGCTGCAATACTCTCAATGCCCCTATTTCCCATCAAAACAAAATGCATTTTCTAGCCATCCCAAAAACTAATTCAACACACTAGTCACAGAAATTTTGAATTTATAATATAGAGTTTGGAATATAGTAGAATTCACTAGTCCTATTTCGTTATATATAATTGAAAATGATGGTATCGTTTGTTGTATTCAATTTTGAAATGGTATCGTGAAATCTCTTGAAATTTGGTTAGATAAGATTATAAAGTCTATTCATGTTATTTTGTCAAGAACCTTGTCGAGCATTACTTTCTAAAAAATCCCATCAAATATTGTTCAAAACTTATATTTAATGTTTCACCTGAGAATCCCATCATAGTTTTTGAGTCAAATTATAAACTATACCAATGACTTTGACCATTGGATTCAACATAAGTTAAACAATAATCAACCTAGAACAATTGGGGCCGGGACATTATCAACAAGGAGCTCCAACAACGATGAGAGGTGATGATGATGGATACGAAGAATGAATCGATTATTTATTTTATTTTGGCCAAAATTTGAAGGATAAATAACATTTGCATTCAAAATTCCATTGGAGTCTTGTCATTATTTATGAAGCATCAAAGCATAGTTAGAAAATAAATCTAAGAATTAGGGGATGTTATTATAATTTTAACATATTCCTTTGTTTTTTTTTTGTTTTTTCGTTGGTAGAAAAAGGAGTCATGGTGACCAAGGAGAAGAAACATCGAGTGCAGGATTCGAACGTTCGTCGCCAAGAAACATATTTCGTGTCCCCTACTACTACTACTACCTCTGTCTTTAAAAGCGCTCATTCGTCCCTCGTCCCCACTGTCCCCCCTTAAAATGCTTTCCTTGCTCCGCCACCATAGTTTTTAGGATAAACTACATGAATGACCCCTGAATTATGGGTTTCATTTTAAATTGCCCCCTAAACTTTAAATTTTTAAAATTTTTCCCCTTAACTATTTAATTTGTTTTAATCAACACTTTATGTTAAAATCAATCGTTAAGTTAGACAACTACCAAACAAGTGACTTGCACATAACTATTTGTTTGGGGGCATTTAAGGGAGTTTAAACAAATACCCTTTCATTTGACTTCAGGCTATTAGGAACAAGAGTTCCATGGCCAACGCCGACATACATCATTTGACTTTCACCTGCAATTATGAACTAGGGTTTAAGTCTTGAGTACAATTAAGGCAAAATTTCATCGTTTATTGCGAGAAGTGTGCTATGTTTTTCATATGGACAATTTTTGTCTTTTTTTGGAACCCATTTCACATAAACTTGTGTTTAAGAGTCCTTTGCAAAAGTTAGATATTTGTATATGCACGAGAGATTTTCTGCAATAAATAGAGATAGCGATCTCCACGAGGATGAACCTGAAACAACCAAAAGGTCAAAAAAGGGTCGGGTGAACATTCAGTTTATCCCCTCTGAAACTTAAGTCAATAAAAGTTTAGAGGCTTTAGCACAATA